GCTAGGACTTCCACCAATATGTTTAATAATAGTGAGACCAGACATTCTTGCCTCGTTCCTATTCTAAGGGGTAAAGCACTCAGCCTTTCACCATTAAGTATAATGTCAACTGTAGATTTTTTTTGATAGACGCTGTCAACAAGCTGAGAAAGTCCTGCTCAATTCCTTTTTTTTGAGAGAGTATTTTAAAACATGTGGGTGTTACATTTTGTCAAATGCTTTTTCTGCACTGACTGCTATGACGTGGTTTTCCTTCTTTACCCTATTAAAATGGTGGCTCATACTGATTTGTTTTTGAATACTGAACCACCCTTGCATCCCTGAATAAATTCCATTTGGTCATGATGTATATATAAATTCCATTTGGTCATGATGTGCATGTATATGATTTCATGTTGTTGAATTCTATTTGCTGATATTTTGTTGACAATTTTTACCTATATATTGATAAGAGCTATCAGACTGTACTTTTCTTTTTTGCATTTTCTTTGGTTTTGGTATCAGGGTAATGTTAGCTTCATAAAATAAATAAGGAAATGTTCCATCTCTTCTACTTTCTGGAAACGGTGGTGTAGACTTGGTGTTCATTCTTTCTTTAATGATTGGTAGAATTCTCTGGTGAAACCATCTGGGCTCAGAGATTTCTTTTCTGGAAATTTTAAAATTATGACTTCAATTTCCTTAATAATTATAGGGTTATTCAAATAATCTATTTGAATCTATTTTGGTCATTGTGTTTCTTTTGTCTATTTCATCTAATTCATCATCATACTTATATATTATTCCTTTGATGTCTACAGGATATATAGTTATATCTTCTGTTTTGTTCCTGATATTGGTAATCCGTGCCTTCTCTTTTTACTTCATCAGTTGCCAGGAATTTGCCAATTTTATTGACCTTTAAAAAAAACAGCTTTTTTTTCTTGTTTCTTTTCTCTACTGTTTCCGTTTTCAATTTCACTGATTTCTGCTCTTTAGTATTTCCTTTCTTCTATTTGCTTTGAGTTTATTTTGCTTTGGGTTCTTGAGGTAGGGGCTAATATTATTGATCTGAGAATCTCCCTCTCTGCATTACATGTTTCCCACAAATTTTAACATGTTGTATTTCCATTTTCATTCAGTTTACTGTATTTTAAATTTTCCTTTGAGACTCTCCCTATGACACATATATTATTTAGAAGTATACTGTCTAGTTACCAAGTCTCTGGAGATTTTTCCAATTATCTGTTATTGATAACGGGAACCAATAGAACTAAAAGGAGAAACAGACAAATCCACAAGTATAGTTGAGACTGTCTTTGATTTCTAGTTTAATTCCATTGCTTCTGCTGGTTTTTGCTTCACTATCTTGCAGCTCTGTAGGATTGTTATGTCTTCCTGGTGGATTCTTCTTTTATCATATGGTATCCCACTGTCTCTGGCAAGTTTCTTTGCTCTTAATCTACTTTATATGATGATAATAGAGCCACTACTGCTTTCTTTTGATTAATGTTTCTATATCTTTTCTCATTTTATTTTCAACCTGGCTGTATCGTTATATTTGAAATGAGTTTCTCGTAGACTCCATATAGCTGTGTTGCTTTTAAATCCTCTCTGCTAATTTCTGTCTTTTGATTGTAGTTATTTACATTTCATGTCATTATTGCTATGTGAGATCTTAAGTCTGCCATTTTATTTTTGTTTGCCATTTTTTTGTTCCCCCCCCCCCCCGCTTTACTGAGGGTTAACTGAACATTTTTTAGAATTCTATATTGATTTATCTATTGTTTTTTAGTGTATCTCTTTGTATATATTTTTAGTGGTTGCTCCAGGTACTGCATTGTATATATATATATATAATGTATCTCAGTCTACTAGTGTTGTCATTTTACCCCATCAGGTGACATGTAGAAACCTTACCTCCCTTGATGTCCCTTTTTCCACTACAGTTTATATTGCCTGTATGTACACTGAGAACCACGTCAGACATATAGTTTTGCTTAAATTGTCAAACATAATTTACAAGACTCAAAAGTTTTAAGAAAAAAAGTCTATCATAATTATCCATACTTTTGGTTACAGTGTTCCTTCCTATAAGATCTTTCTTTTATTATTTCATTTCTGTTAGGTAACTTTGTTTAGCCGTTCTTTTTTAGTCGATCTGCTATCGATAAATTCTTAGTTTTCTTTCATCTGAGAATGTCTTGATTTCCCTTCATCCCTGAAAGATATTTTTGCTAGTTCTAGCATTCTGGGCTGATAGTTCTTTTCTTTCAGCTCTTGAAAATTGTTGTGCTATTTCCTTCTGGCCTCCCCTGTTTCTGGTAAGAACTTTGCTATCATTTGACTTGTTAAGGTCTCGTTTTCAAGATTTTTTATTTTGTCTTTAGGTTTCAGAGATTTGATTCTGCACAGAAGTATGTCTTGGTAAGGATTTACTTGGGTTTATCCTGTTTGGAGTTGGCTTAGCTTCTTGAATCTGTAGGTTTATGTCTTCTACAACATTTGGGAAGTTTTCAGTCATTATTTCTTTGAGTACTTTCTCAGAGCCATCTTCTATCTTTCTAGGATTCTGATAACATAATGTTAGAGTTTTTGTTATTGTCCCACAGGTCCCTGAGGCACTGTTTCCATCCTCCCCCCTCACTCCACCTATTTTTTCTCTGTAGTTTAGACCGGGTAGTTTCTATTATTCTATCATCTAGTTCATTATTTCTTCCCTCTGTTCCTGTCATTCTGCTGATTCTAGTCATTGAATCTTTTATTTCAGTTATTATATTTTTCCGTTTCAGATTTCTAGCAGGCTCTTCCTCTTGTATTTCTTTTGCTGAGACTATTTTTCATTTGTTTCAAGCATGCTCATTGTTTGTTAGGGCATTTTAAAATGATGGTTGCCTAAGAAATCTTTGTCATCTTGCTGTTGGCATCTATTGGGTTGTAGGAAAAGTCATGATGTATTCTTTTCGATGTTTTTCATTGCAAAAATGCGTCATGACTTTTCCGACAAACCAATAGACTGGTCCTCCACCTTCTTAAAATAGTTTATATCACGAAACATTTTTAGCTTTTAGGTAAAACCTCATGGATGATTATATTATGTAATGCTTGTCATGAATCCTTTAAAAGTAGAATTTAAGAAGATTATTTCTTAAATCCTTGGCTTCTGAGACCCAAATTAATTTACATGATTAAATAAAAGTGCTGTTCTCTCGTAAGTATGGAAAAGTCCTGCCCAGATCAAATTTAAATATTTTTATTATTAACCAGATACAGAATGTTTGTAATAAGTGCTGCCAAACATTAACGGAATAAACAGGTTTCTTCCACTATCCAAAAGTAGGGCACTCCTATGAAACCTTTCCTAAGCTGAAATGGCATAAAGTGGAGTGTCCTCTTGCTTTGTGAAAGTATGCACTGTGCCATTTCACTTTTACCAAAGACCTACATTAGTATAGTAACAGCTTTTTTTTGTAAAAGTGAGAATCCTCTTCGGATTTCTTTCGGCTAGTGAAAACAGGTGCTAACGTAGATCTCTGGTGAAAAGTGAAGTGGTGTAACGCGGACTTTCGCAAAGTGGGGGACACCTGCATTTCATTTACATGTTCAGCCAAATGACAACAGTAATTTGCTGCTTACAAATAAACATCTACAGTTACTTGTTAAGAGTAAGAAAAATGAACACAGAGGCGTTAGAGACAGGACTAGAAATCTAGGATTACTTTCCAATAGTTGACACCTTGTCATCTCACTTCATAGCATCGGTTTTTATTAAAATGCAGACAATTTTGGCTTTATGATTCTCAAAATCAACAAGAACATCCATTGTTAATAATAAGGATATGTTTCAGATGTCTAGAAACCCCCACATGTTGGCCCATATGGTTTCAAACACAACACCTCTAATAAAGGAGTCTCTCTGAAAGAGGTGGCTTTACATGTCTATTTTAAGTTGAACAAAGGGACAGAACGGATTTCTTCCTAGGCTTGCTGTGTTTAGTGAAACATTACTTTTGTATGTTTTCATTGTAATTATTGGCAAGAATAGATAAAGCATTAGTTGGTGCCTACAGACAATCACAGAGCACCTCATTAACTGTAGATAAGTATATCTTAACTAAGAAAGAATTCTTCAGTGAAAATACCAATGCTGTTCAATTACTGTAGTCTATTTCTGGGTTCAAGGGGTAAACAGAAGAGCTCCAAGTATCATTCTTAATAAATATTTACTTGCTGTTTACTATGTTGAAGGCACAGTGCTAGCTCCTGCCTATGACTTCATCCTCTCCTATCCTTAGAAAAATGAGATTCTTCAATCATTTGTTTTCTAGAATCCCTTTCTGTAGTTGCTCTTATGATTCTTATCCATAAGGTGGAACTATATAGCATTACTCCGGGTAAGCTACTTATTTTTTGGCCTCATTTCTGCATTTTGTAAAGTAGAATGTAGCAATACATTTACCTTAGAATTAACTGTCCTTTAATCTGTATACAGTATATAAATACCATATTCAAACACATACAGCACGGAAGAACATGATGTATGGGGAAAACTTCCAACGGTTCCAGTTGATCAATGGAAATAATTGAAATACCGCAAATTTTTTCTATTAAAGATGGCAGAATTCCCATGCTTTATATAATGTTACACAGCAATAATTTAACACTTTCCCTACCTCAGCAGAAGTTGCTACAAATGTTTAGTGTCTTGAAATCTTTCCAAATTTTATTAGTGTCCTTTTTCTCCCTCTCATGCAACATAAAAAAGATTTTAGAGAAAATACATACAAAGATGTGTTAAAGCATTTTGGCTTTGAGAGAAGGCTCAGGATATAATTTAAGAGTCTGATATAAGGTGAATTATTATAAAGCATTTCAAAGAGAAGGAATTTTCCTACTTTATGATATTCAAATACTATCAGTGATTAAAAAGCTTAGGGGAAATATACCAATAAATGAATATTAAGGTATATAAAACAATTCTATTAAAAGATGATAAACATTTAAAAGGGTCTCTTATTTACCTCTTCTACATTGGAAGCTGTCTTAGCAGAAGTTTCCATGAAGATAAGACCATGTTCTCGTGCAAAAGCTTCACCTTCTTCTTTTTTTACTTCTCTTCTAGATTCTAAATCACTAAACATGGGAAAAAAGGGGCCATATTATTAACCAACACAGGACAAATAGAGGCATCTGCAGAAAATGTACCATGAGATTCAAAGTTGTACTGACCATTCGTTCAATTAATTTTTAATACACAGTAATCAACTGCACTATACTGAATACTACGAGGGTCAAAGTGTTTCAAGTACATTGCTTAGTTTCAAAGAACTAGCAATCCAACCAAAGTAAGATTCTGAGTTACAGTCCTAGAATGCTAAAACTGGGAGAAACCTACAGGGAACATCTAGTCCAATACCCTGCCTTTCAGAATAGTGGATTCCAAAATGAAGGAACCATTTGACTCAAAATAATAATTTTGGACAGCAGAACTACATTAGTCTCCTCATCCTTCAGCCAGATTGACTTCTATGAATATAATTAAAAAATAAGTTGCACAATTCTTAAAAACTATAGAAAACTGCTCAGTAAAATCCAAAGTACTAAAAAAAAAAACTAATTAGATTATTAATCCCAGTTGGTTGAATTCCCAGTAAAATAAAGTCTAAACTAGAAATTTTGCACAAAAGCATAGTATTCATTTTTATCATACTGGAATTTATTAGTAAGGTAGTGGGGGAAGTAGCAGTCTCCTTCAAGTGTGTTTTATTGTAAAAATTTTAAAACTTTACTATTATAAGAGAATCATAACGGCAGTAAGAGAAATTCAGTTATTAAGGAAGCTCCCATAAGCCTGTTGACTGATTTCCCAATAGAAACTTTGCAGGTTAGAAGGGACTAATATGATATATTGTATTTTGCCATGTATAATGTGCTCCCGTGTATAATGTGCACTCACATTTTGGGCCTAAACTTTCAGGGAAAAAATCTTTTATTTTAATTTTTAATTCAAATTTTTATTTGTTTACATTTAGGTACTTGTTTTTTGTATTACAAAGAAATTTTAGCATTTTTTTTAACATTATGGTACAAGAAATTTTATGTAACAAATGTTTACAAAACACAAGAATATATACAAAGTACAAGAAATTTTATGTACTGGTAACAAATTTACAATATTTACACATCATAGAAGGCCAAGAACTCTTCATCATTGCAAGTTCGTCATAAGTTCAACAAAACTGACTATTGTATTCCAAGGTATTACTTTGCATAGAGATACTATTATTGATTCCTAGAGTTATACTTTTTTTTTTTTTGTAGAGGAGTAAAGATTTTTATTGAAACGAAAGTACAGCTCCTTTATGAGAGGGGGTACCCGAAACTGGAATGCCCCTAGAGTTAAATTTTTAACTCATAAGTATAAATAAAATAATTAAAAGCATTTATATAGATATGGAATTAGTAATACCCATGTATAATGAATGCACAGCCTTATTTTTTCCTCACAAATTTGGGCAAAAAAGTGCACACTATACACAGCAAAATACAGTATGCAAAGTGATGAAAAGCGAGGACCTATAACCAAGATTACTCCACCCAGCAAAGCTATCATTGAAAATGAAGTTTCCCAGACAAGAGAAAGCTAAAGGAGTTCATAACCACCAAACCAGTATTCCAAGAAATGTTAAAGGGACTCCATTCAGAAATAGAAAAAAATATAAAAAAGGTGAATAATAAAATGGCAAAAACTACATATCTATCAAGAATTACTTTCACTGTAAATGGATTAAGAGCTCCAATCAAATGACATAGGATGGCTGAATGGTAAAAAAACCTCTTACATATACTGCCTACAAGAGACTCACATCAGATTAAAAGACACACATGGACTAAAAATAAAGGAATAGAAAAAGATATTTCATGAAAATGGAAACACACACACAAAAGCTGGAGTAGCAATACTTATGCCAGATAAAATAGGCTTTAAAGCAAAGGCTATAACAAAAGACCCAGTAATCCCACTTCCTGGTATTTTTCCAAAGAAATACAAAACACTACTTTGAGGGGACATGTGCATCTATGTGTTCACTGCTCCATTGTTTCCAATGGCTAAGGTGTAGAGGCAGCCTGGGTGTCCATCAATGAATGAATGGATCGAGGAGGGGGTACATATATACAATGGAATATTAGCCATAAAAAAAGAATGAAATCTTGCCATCTGCAACATTGATGGGCCTAGAGGATATTATGCTAATTGAAATAAGTCAGACAGAGAAAGACAAATACCTTATGATCTCACTTATACGGGGAATCTAAAGAACAAAATAAACTAACAGAACAGAAACAGACTCATAGATACAGAGAACATTTTGATGGTTGCCAGTTAGAAGGGGGTTTGGGGGAATGGATGAAAAAGGAGAAGGGATTAAGAAGTACAAATTGGTAGTGTTACAAAACAGTCATAGGAATGTAGGGTATAGCATAAGGAATATAGTAAATAACATTGTAATAATTATGTATGGTGTTGGATGGGTACTGTATTTATCGAGGGTGATCACTTCGTAAGTTACATAAATGTGTAATCACTATGTTGTACACCTAAAACTAATATTGTGTGTCAACTGTAACTGAAAAATAGCATACCCAAGTACTTCCATCTAGCCTTAACACATATTATTTTGAGGGATTATATCAGATGATTTTTCTGTTGAGAAATAAAATCAATAGTTACAGTTGAATTGCCTCCTGTGTGTCTGTTCTCGATCTCATTCTCTTCCCTCATACCTCACAGGTAACCACCACTCTGTACTTGGCTTTTTCATTCTCATGATGTTTGTTTATATATATATATATATTTTTTTTTTTTTTAATTTTTTTTTTAAAATTTTTTAAAGATTTTATTGGGGAATCGGGGGAAGGGGAACAGACAAGTTGCTGTTGTTTTGTTCTTCAGTCTAGTTGTGGAGGACGTTGCTTCACTGGCCCAAGTTGGCACCAT